ACCTCTGGCCAGACAAACTCCCAGGCTTGCTCTCAGGGCCTCAGGATATTAGGGCTGCAGGGAGGAAGCCAGGGCAGGAGAAGTCAGCAGGTCCACCCCTGCCAATGATGAGTGGCCATTTCAGACTGAAGTTTGCCCCTGAGATAGGGGCTAGATAATGACTGGCAGCAGATCATTGAGACAAGGTGGGCAAAGAGGGTGGAGGGGTTCCCTGAATGGGAGGACCCCAGTGTGCAGAGGCACTGTTACAGGGCAGTACCCTGGGGATGGGCTACTTGGTCTGGGAGGACTGCGGGCCCTGATACAAAGTGGTAGTGAACAGTAGGTGAGACCCTGTCCAGAAGGGGACGCTCCAGGGCTGAACTAAGCTGATTTCCCCAGTGACCAGCAGAAGGTGCTGTGCAGTGAATCAAGCCCTGTTATACACCTGTTTGTAGATTTCTGTTTAGGTCCATTCACTTCTGGGAATGGTCTGTATATTTGAAATGAGATATCAGGTGGAATTAATGACACTAAATATAAAGAGGGATGCTCCATTTGAGCCTGTGTAGAATTAACTTTAAAATAGCATGTGTGTGCATGCACACATTGTAGGAATTGGACGGAGGAGAGGCACTCCATGTAGGAGTAAGTATTCAGGAACTGTAGAGAAAAATATGAACAAACTAAGTGGATTAGATTGGAAAATCTCACGATAGTTTCCTCTGTAAATTGCAACTCTCAGCTGGGCTGGTGGCTGAATAAGTTTCAGGTACTTGGTATTTTGGCAGTCAGCCTAATGTTTTAAAGACTCTATTTAAAAACAGACAGTGTGCTTTGGAGGAAAGTTCCCTTTGGCATGCTCCTGAGTAAATGAGAGCTGGTTGTCCTGGAGACACTTGGCTTCCCTAAGGGAAACAATCTAAATAAATGAAGATGATTGCATGATGCGTCACCTTCATTTCTCCATACTTCTGCTGTTATAGGTTATAAACTGTTCAGGTCTGACCCCATTGTTTGTTTTCTACTCCTGGAACCCTTCCCTTCTTCCTCCCATCTCCCCACTAACTTAATCTCCATCTACAATCATGCCAGTGCAAACGATTTTGAAGAGCTTTTAAAAACAGTCTGACGTTTGGGGTATCCATTAAGACCTCCATGACTTGCTTTCTCTTCCTGGTGAGAACCTGCTATATAGGTTATCGTCTATAATTTATGCACCAGAAGGGGATTAAATGAATGCTGCTCTGTTGCAAGAGTCTCACTTTTCCCCTCAGGCAACATTTAATTTTCTAAACTGTAAAACTAGTAGATTAGATTGAAGGACCTATTAAATTGGAGTCTTCACAGGAAAGAGTCCTTGAGGAAAAAAGTCTTATTTTGACTATTGCAGCCACTGCAACATAAAATATTCGTTTATGGTCTTGTTGCTGTGCAGGTCTGAAAGAGAAATCCGTGACATGAATATAAATGTACATTTTGGAAAAATATGTACTATTTTTTTTTTGCTAAATAAAATCAGAAATTCTTTTAATTGTGTAATTCTGTGTAGATGGAAGAAAAATATGAATTCTAAACTTTTTGTTTAGTAGCTGTACATGTTCTTTTTAAATCATGTCTCGTATGTATGGAAGATAATCCTATTGCAGATTTTTTTCTCTAAAATCAAACGGACGTCCGTTTGTACATGTAAACAACAGAGAGGATTAAACTGAGAGCCTGTTAAGGACATGTGTACACTACACATTTCTGATGATGTAATTTGCATCTTCATGCATACTTGGGACCTTGCTCTGGCACTGCACATACTCACTGGAATGCTTGTTTCAACGGACAGGGAAGTGCAAAAACGCTTAGCTAATTCTACACTGAAATCTCAGTACACACTTTCTCAAACTCACCTAAAACCTCTTTTCCAGCTGCCCCTCCAAACCAGGTCTGTCTTCCCCATGCTGGGGTCTTCTGCACCTTTCCTTCAGGTGCAGCCCAGCCAAAAGACCAAGGCCTCTCCTTTCCTATTGTTTTTGTTAAAGAATTGAGGCTACTTCTTACCAACCACTGCTTAGACTTAAGGACAAAAGAGATTGTTTAACAGTTGCTCATCAAGACTTTGAAGGTAACACCCTCCATGTGTCTCATTCACACATTTGAAACCCACAAAGTATTCCCCACACCATATGTCTAATTTTACACACAAAAATGATACACACATCAAAGTAAGATAAACAGAACGGGCAGATCATGACATGAAGATTGATGGGTTACACAAAATAATTTGCTCAAAGCACCTTTGAGTTATGTATATTCATGTCCACAAATCAATTTCATAAAGTATTGGGGGGGGAGGGCGGCCCATCACACACACATCCCTATTATGGCCCCAGCCTGCCTTGCCAGAGTCACAAAGAGAAATGGCTATTTTGCTGTGTTTATTCAAGCACAGGTGGGTCATGGGCTGGTCAGCAAAGGTTCCTGATGCTTACATCTTTAACAACACAGGACTGTTCAGAAAACTACAAGAGACTGACAGTTCCAACCAGTGATTACCGCTAGTGATGTTGCAATGCCAATAGTGATCCTGTGGGACTCTGCTTAGCCCTCTACTTGCCTGCCTCATGAATCTCTGCACTGCCCATCTTGACAGCCTCAAGGAAAGATTCAAATACCAGAAGAATAAATGCAGAATGACAGTTTAATATATATTTGGTGGATTGAAGGGGCACTGGTGGTGTTCCCTCACAAGACTGCATCTCAGTAAGAAAAAAATATCCAACAGTTTTAGCTGTTTGCTGCATCCTGCATAATATCTGTGCAGCCAAGAGTGGGGAAAGTTGCTGCTGGGGTAGAGCGTGGAGATGAGCAATCGGACACAAGCTATCAGAAAAGCTCAGGGCAGAGCTATGTGGCTCAGGGAAGTTTTGAAAGAGCACTTCAGCAGTGAGCTACAGCAATGAATTGCTGTCTCCTATGCTCAAATTGGGGCAGCAGTTTAGGTGCCTGTGAGGAATTATGCAGTGCTTGGAACGCATCTAAGAATAGAACACTGATAATTCACCTGTTAATTTTCTGTTGTATCCTGTAGATTTATTATTATTACAGTGTTTGTTTGTTACTGACCATATGGATTGTGTCTCAGTGTGCAATAACAAGTAACTGGGGGCTTTCAGTCCTGCCCGGCAATCCACAGCATGTGTTGGGAGCTAACTTTCCAAATAACATGGCGTTACTGAATATAAAAAATATGCATTGAAAAAATTCCATATAGGTTAAGAGCAAGTACATTAAAAACCTTAATTAAGCCCTGTCAAATGGTGAATTCTTGAATGGGAAGTTGGTTAATTTAGAAGGGAGGTGGTCCCTAGACCCTGGTGGTCTGTGGGTTATGCAGTGGCATGTCTCTAGAGCCAGGGCCAGAACATACTGAAATAGTCTTTCAGTGCTTTGCTGTATGGAGGATAAAATGGCATCCTCCACAGTGTGAGCTCTTGTGCTCCATGTGTGTGAAAGGCTATGTTGCCTGGAGCATTCTGGTAGTGCCAGAAATGAAAACTGTCTTAGGATACAATGAAAGATGACAAAGCGGTTCTTGGGGGCAGGGGAAGGAAATATGTGGGAACCACTGATTTAGAGAGCTCAGACTTACTGGAAGTTAAAGTCTACTCCTCTCACCTTACAAACTAAAGGTTTGTAACTAAGGTTATCATTTAGGGTTTTAAAAATATTAACTGACAGCCCTCAACAATGAATTTTTTTCCAGCAAAGGTATGTGAAGATCTTGAAAACAAAGTACTTTTTTTTTTTTTAATCTGATATTGTCTCTGTGGAGGATTAGTTAAATTCTTGACCTCATCGTATTAGGCTTTTGTCTCTTAACATATTAGAGTTTTATTTTAAGACATTCTTATTTTGGCAATTCTTGGATGTTTAAGAACTTTGGTTATACTCTAGCAATGAGGCATATCACCAATTTTTGGTAGCAAATCTACAGTTTGACTTGAGCATTTCAGGCTTATCATCCTCTTTGGAGAGGGAAAATGGGGGTTATTTTCACTCCCTGTGGAATAAGTGAAGGATATCAACGGACATAATAGTCACAGGGAAAGTAGACTACTTGTGGGTAGGTGAACAGAGAAGAAAAGGAGAGAGAGTTCCCAGGCTGTCCTATCCCTTAACAGTTAGGCTTTCCCTGTAGCTGAATTGGGAGTTTCATCCACTGTCTTCTCTGAAGAAGTATTTGTTTTGATGAGCGCATTGGATTTGCATGTAAGAAAATGCTGTTAGTTAGTGTTACGGTTTTCATGTAGTCTGTGAGATGACATGGAAAACTTGACTACTGGCTCCAGGCCTGCTGCTTCCTACCCACCTCCTCCTAAGTCCACAGAGCTACAAATGTTAAGTCCTCTTAAAGTTTCATGGAAAAGAGCTGTGAAGTTGTTTTCAGGCATCTCATATAGTTTGGATCGTTGCAATATTATAGACATTGAACATTAGACACCAAAATCATGAAAGTCTTTGTTTTAAAAAACACTTTATTTACTTTATAATTTTTGAGCGGGAAGAGTGCCACTTCAAGTGCGTGAGAGAACTTCAGGGTCTTAATTCATCCTCAAATACACATGCAAAAATGTGGTGTGGTCTTGTAGGCTGTTTGCAGGGACACACCCCCTTGCCTTTCCTTACCCCTGCAATAGAAAAGCTGCTATTTTATCCTCTCCTTTCCACTCCTTTAGGAGCACCCTGACTTTTCCTCTCCTGGTCAGTCTTCCACGGTGCTGTGTCTGGTCCTTCAAATGTGGAGTGTGATGATCTGATATAGATCAAAGCTTATCAAGAACTTATAGACACTGAGTTGATTTAGAGTTAAAAATTTGGGAAATTTTATGTAATACTTGGTTTAATGATTTTATCGGTTTTCCTTTATTTTCAGGAATACAATTTAATTATATAAATGCTAGGAAAAAGGGGTTTTAATTCATGTGTTTTATTCATTTTTCATATGAAATGTTTCTTTCTCATGACAGGTTACTGAATGCAATAAAGCCTGGATTGGTAAAAAAGATCAATAGACTGTCGACTCCTATTGCAGGGTTGGTGAGTATCTTAAACTGAGATAAATCTTTAAATATTCCACTTGACGTTTCAGTTTTATGAGTGATTCCTTTAATCTTGTAATATATTCTAAGGTAGTATAACTCTTTTATCATGCTAAACCCAGACATTCCAACTGAAACCTGAAGTACCAGTGGAAGAATTGCAATCCTCCTATTTACATGGTGGCAGGAGAACTCAAATCCTACTAGTATTTCTCCTGTCGGCAGGTTGGACATGTGGTGATTCTGAAGTATGTATTTTGATGTTGTGGTGCCAGTTAAAGACATGATGCAACAAGACTGCTTCAATATTCAAGAATTAAAAAAAAAAAACAGATTGTTGTGGGTGCCTCATCTAATATATAATAATGTTATAATATAATTCTGGCTAAAAACACCTATGGGATACTGGGGGAAATGAAGACAGTTGTAAAAAAAATATAACAAATGGAAGAAAGTAGAAGTTGATCAGAAGATAAGAACTGTTGAAAATTGGTAATGGAAGCCAAGGAACACAAGGGGGAATCTATAGCCAACAGAGTTAAGGACAATAAGGAGAAGATTTTAAAAATATAGTAGGAACAAAATAATCCCAGCAATGGTGTTGGTCCATTACTAAATAATAATGCAAAAATCAGAAGTGTTAAATATTTCTGTTCTGTATTGTGGGGAGAAAAAGGATGATATAGGCTCAATATATGGCAGTAACATTCTTTTCATCCCACTAGCATCTCTGGAGGATGTTAAAGAGAAGCTACAAAAGTTAAACATTTAAAAATCAGCAGGTCCCGATAAATTGTATCTTAAGAGTTGCCTGAGAAACTCACTGGACCACTAATGTTGATTTTCAGTAAGTTTTGGAGCACCATGGAAGCTCCAAAAGACTGGAAGGAAGCTAATGTTGTATCCTTTTTTTAAAAAAAGGGGTAATCTAGATAATTATAGGCCTGTCAGCCAAACATTGATCTCGGACATGATAATTGGGTAGCTTATACAGGACTTGATTAATAATTAAAGGGTTTTGTAATAACTGCCAATCAACATAGTTTGTCAAACTAACTTGATATCATTTAAAAAATCTTATTTCAAGTTTGGTTGGTGAAGATACTAGAATTGATTTAATATACCCCTGTCAGGATTTTGACTTGGTACAGTGTGACGTTTTGATTAAAAACACTATATAGTTTGAAAATGTAACTATAAACAGGGAATCATCATTGAGCAGGTTTGTTTCTAGTGGAGTCCCCCAGGAGTTGGTTATTGGATCTGTACTTTTTACATTTTTATCAATTGCCTGGGAAAAAAACCTAAAATTATGACTAATAAGATTGGTAGATAGCACAAAAGTTGGAAGTGGTAAATTACAAAATTGACAGTTCACTGATTCAAAGGGATTCGTGTTGTTCGGTAAACTGGGTTCAAGCAAACAATATACATTTTAATGTGGCTGAATGTAATTGCATACATCTAGGAATGAAGAGTGCTGCTGCTGTATGCCATATTGTGCCCAGTTCTGGAGTTCACAGATAAAGGATGTTAATAAAATGGAGAAGGTACAAAGAAGAACCAGGAGAATGATTAAAAGATTAGAAAACCTGCATTCTAGTGATAGCTCAATAGCTTCAGTAGCTACAGGAACTCAATCTATTCAGCTTAATAGCAAGAAGGTTAAAGGGTAACTTAATTATTGTCTTTCAGCACCTACACGGGGAACAAGTATTTAATAATGAGTTCTTCAGTAGGCAGAGAAAGGTGTCACATCCTTCAGTCTCTGGAAGCTGAAGCTACACAAGTCTGTGCTGGAAATTAGGTGTAAATTTTTAATGGTGAACCACTAGAACAGTTTACTAAGGGTTATGGTGGATTCTCCATCACTGACCATTTTAAAATCAAGATTGGATGTTTTTCTAAAAGACCTGCTCTAGGAATTAGCTTGGTGAAGTTCTGAGGCCTGTGTTATACAGGAGGTCAGAGTAGATCCTGATGTTAGAATCTGTGAGCCTTCCTTTCAATAGGAGAAAATGGCTTTTTAGCGGGGTGGAGTCAATAGTCTAATTTACTTTTATCTCAAAACACTAAGAACTCCAGATTAAATTCATAGCTGCATAATTTTAAACTGATGTTAAAGGTAAAGTAAAACTTATCTGTGGGTGTGAACCCTTCAGTTTTATGATAGTCCCATATGAATTATGGTGCCTGTTCTGTCACTAATTGGATTGTAGATTTAGTTGTATAAATCCCAGCAATAATGGAGATTACTTATATACAATTACACACATCACCCCTGTTGATTGTGGAGGCAATGTTCCCCTGCATAATTTTCAGGTTCAAACATTTCTAATTTAGGTAGAAACAAAAATGTGACTTAAGATTTGTGTGTATGCACTGACTTATTTACCTGGTCCAAGATTAAGGAAACAAGGAGGACATTTGCTGCTTATAAATCAAGTTGACTAAGTTTGTACTATTTATGAATGCCATAACTTTTTAGTCCTTGAGGACCTGATCCTTTGGCCCCTTACTGACAGGTATAGAAGTTTAAGTACTGGCCACAGTTTTAGGATTTCACCATGGTGCCTGAAGTAAGATGGTGCTGTTTGACTCTTCTATGAGGGTCCCTAGTGTGTCACTCACTCACTCAACTCTGAAAATCATCTTTTTTTAACCCTGCCCATTTTTTTAAAAGTACATTTTAAACTTCAAAAGTACTTGTAGAGATACCATTCTTGGGTGTTTATTAAACTGTAGCCTCTTGGTATTTTTTCTTTTAATCACTGTGTTTTAAGAGGTTGGATATGGTATTATGTAGGGATGTTAAATATCGGTTAGTTGAATAGTCAATTAACCTCGTGAATTCTTATCAGTTAATCGACTTTTCTATGGTCCCCGGGGGAAGGGGCCAGCAGCCAGTGCGCTCTGGCCCTACTCACAAGGAGCACCCTGCCACTGTGCACTGCTTCCTCTGTATCAGAGGCAGCAGCGTGCAGTGCCAGGCAGGAACTGGTCCATGAGGGGAGACAGTTTTAAAAACCAGCTCTCCTCGTGGACTGGCTGCCTGTTGCACTGCGCTGCTGCCTCTGATACAGGCTGAGGTTTGGGGCTGAGCCGGGATGCTTGCTCACCAGGTTCGGAATACACTTTAAATGCAGAACTGCAGCAGGGGCAGGTCCTGGACCCGATGCAAACAAGGACTGAGCTGGGCTGCTGGCCAGCCTGCTAAACGATTTACTGGCAGGAGGGGAAATGCATATAGTCTATAGCATTAACCTATAAGCTTTTACTTATTGGTTAATCAGTTAATCAACTATGCTACTACTATTATGATGAATTTTTTCCCATATTGGTTTGTATGTTGCCCAAGGTAACTTGGTGGTAATGGGAGGAACAATGTAAATAGTGCTTTTTTGTTGTTTCACTATATATTGCTGAGTCAAACTCCTGCATCCTTAAATTTAAAAATTCCATCTGGTTTTAGGTTGTTCATGTAGTGAGTTGCTTTTCATGTGTTTGAAAGTATTTTTTCCTATTTCTGTGCATCTATTTGCCTTTTGTTTTTTTCTAAATATTTCTCCAGTTATAATAGTAGACTAGGGGGGAAATACTTCCCCAACTCAAAAGTGAATTTAACAGTGAGTACATCCGTCTAGACTGGTATGGATGAGTTGTTTAAAACAAAACCTCATAAATATCCCATTGTCTTTTGACTTGTAATCCAATTCTTCTGTCCTTTGTAAGCATTATGGTTTACCCAGGTGATGAGCAACTTATAAATGCTCTGCACAAATCCAAAATATCCATTGACTTCTATGAGAAAAGGATCAGGCCTCTAGTCTGTTGTGAGGTCTTTAAAAATTATTTTAAATGAGTAGATGTCATAAGTATCTTTATAAAATGTAAAGGATAGCTTTTCCTTTTTTTTCCTCCCCATTCTACCATGGCACATGCCTGAAGAAATCTGGAATACTAACACTGTAATCCAGAAACAGCTGTACTGTTTAGCTAGCTGACTGAGGCACCTGAGGGACATTCCTTCCTTTATCATAAGATCTTGTTTATTATATAAGCTGAAGTTGGCTTGACACAGTATATAGTCACTAGGGTGAATGAATTGGAAAGAAGCATGTATGACTCACACCAGTGCATGCACAGTTGGGTGGAAATGGCCTCTAGAAAATCAATAGCTTTTCCACTCTCAATGAAACAGTTTATTTCAAACTCTAGAGACTGGTTCTGCCTAAAACTGTAGCTGTGGTTTACAACAACTTAGTGAAAAATAGGGTTATTTTAACATGCATCCACTTACAATATTCTATACATGATCACACGTGTCCAGAATTTCAGTGCTCAAACGCTGTTCAGGTCTGATAAATATTGATTCTTTGTTCTTTTGTTGCACACATGTAAGAGCTGACATGATGAGTATTTGATACAGCTGTGGAGGAAAACAGATCCAACTGTTGATGCTTTTTCAGAGCTGGAGATAAAGCTTCAATATAACTTCCATGCTGAATATTTGGGAGTATTTATTTTTAGCTAGTTTCTATATCCAAGGCCAAATGGTCAAATTTACTTCATAAGTGTTCAGTCCATAGCTCTACAAGCAGCTTAGTTCAATTAAATCTCAAGGTACTGCTTACATATTTTTGGTGAGGGTCTGCTAAGAGTACACTGTCCAATTTGTTGATATTGGGCTTTCAGCCATCTTGGCAGGAGGTTCTGAGCACATCCTGATCGGCTCTGTGGACTCCTGGTGGCTGCAGCTGTAGCCCATATACTTCTGTTTAACATGGTAGTGGCTTCTCAGAAGATAAGAATTTGTACTGGAAAATATTATGCATGAGTAATCTATTTTATCTACTGACTGAGCTGTCTTGACGTTAGAGCCTCGTAAAAGATGGCTACATCTCAAGCTACTTTGAAATTTCATCTGTTATCATAGGCTTCCACACAAGGCTTAATAAGGAAGGATTCATGGCTCATTGATAAATACTGTACACATTA